TGAGGAACGACGGCTGTATGCTGGTCTAGGTATTACCATGTGTGAGGAACGACGGCTGTATGCTGGTCTAGGTATTACCATGTGTGAGGAACGACGGCTGTATGCTGGTCTAGGTATTACCATGTGTGAAGAACGACGGCTGTATGCGGTCTAGGTATTACCATGTGTGAGGAACGACGGCTGTATGCTGGTCTAGGTATTACCATGTGTGAGGAACGATGGCTGTATGCGGTCTAGGTATTACCATATGTGAGGAACGACGGCTGTATGCTGGTCTAGGTATTACCATGTGTGAGAAACGATGGCTGTATGCTGGTCTAGGTATTACCATGTGTGAGGAACGACGGCTGTATGCGGTCTAGGTATTACCATGTGTGAGGCACGACGGCTGTATGCTGGTCTAGGTATTACCATACTTCTGAACATATCTGCTCGTTAGAATTAAATATCAGAGCATGAATGTCATATTTTTATTTTACAATATTTTCGTTTTGAATCGCAGGTGACATTGAACGTGAACTCAGTCTCCCTGTGACTCCAATGTTTGACCGGACTAGAACCTCAGTAGCTAGAATACAGGCTGGTAAATTTGTTTTTGTATAGAAATAACTTTATTCAAAAAGTTCTTAAAAAAACTGTTTTGTGTTAGTTTAGTGTTCTTAAACAACTGTTTTGTGTTAATGTAGTGCTTTTATAGAACTGTTTTGTGTTAATGTAGTGCTCTTAAAGAACTGTTTTGTGTTAGTTTAGTGCTCTTAAAGAACTGTTTTGTGTTAGTTTAGTGCTCTTAAAGAACTGTTTTGTGTTAATGTAGTGCTTTTATAGAACTGTTTTGTGTTACTGTAGTGCTTTTAAAGAACTGTTTTGTGTTAGTTTAGTGCTCTTAAAGAACTGTTTTGTGTTACTGTAGTGCTTTTAAAGAACTGTTTTGTGTTACTGTAGTGCTTTTATAGAACTGTTTTGTGTTAATGTAGTGCTCTTAAACAACTGTTTTGTGTTAGTTTAGTGTTCTTAAAGAATTGTTTTGTGTTAGTTTAGTGTACTTAAACAACTGTTTTGTGTTAGTTTAGTGTACTTAAACAACTGTTTTGTGTTAGTTTAGTGTACTTAAACAACTGTTTTGTGTTACTGTAGTGCTCTTTAACAACTGTTTTGTGTTAGTTTAGTGTTCTTAAACAACTGTTTTGTGTTACTGTAGTGCTTTTAAACAACTGTTTTGTGTTACTGTAGTGCTCTTGAAGAACTGTTATTGTACGAACATTTGATGTGTCATTACGACTTGTGTTATCTCATTTGCTTTCTGAGTTTCAGATTTCTTCCGCTATGTGGTGTCTCCTCTGTTTGAAATCTGGGACCAGTTTATGGACACCTCTCTCTCAAAGAACTTGATGGAGAATCTGAGACACAATCAAGCCGTGTGGAATGAGGAGCTTGAGAAGGAGTTGGCTGATAAAGAAGAAACGAGTACAACAATTGGTTTAGCTGCAGTGGCCATGGAAGAGTGTGCTCCACTAGCATCTGATGAAGAAGATCCAATAGACGAACACGGAAGTTTATTTAGAGAATGTTTTTTCTTGGGAGAGGCTTTAGGGACTTTCCAGAGACGTCGCTACAGCATGCCTGTAAAAACATTCTCCGTTCTTCCACGTGATAACAGCCGCCAAAACAGCGTTTCCCAGGTTTTCCAGTATCGGAGGATGAGTAGTATAGGATTGTCATCTTCTACGTCATTCCGAGTTCCTAGCCCTAAAGTGTACATACCTTGTGAAGAAGTCACGGCATCCAGGCTCCTTCAACCCAGAACAAGCATTGTTTCGCTCTCAGCTGATTCTGTTTCACTATTGTTAGAAAGGCTTCAGACTTTCGCAGAAGTAGAAAAAGGACAACCGCCTCCTTCTCGTACGAGAAAGGCTGAGGAAGTTGGTAAACCAGAAACTACAAACAGAACTCTTTGGGAGGTTTTGCCCACTCCGATGTACGCTCACGGGGCAAGAACCTCACCAACCGAAACTAAAGGTAGTTCGTCAAAAACCGATGACTCCGTTAAGATGCACGTTGACGTAGGAGGAACATCAGATGATCCAGTTGTTGAATGCAACAACGGTTGCTGTGCACAATCCTCGTCTCCTAAATGCTTTCAAGTCGATACAAAAAATGCTCAAAAAACTGAATCTCCTAGACAATCAATTTCTAGTTCAATTCCGGGAGAACAGGGTACTTCCCAAAGAACTTCTGCACCTCAACAATCAGAAAGTAGTGTTAGTCTACGTGTACAGCTTATTGGACAGTATACAGAGCGTGAGGACGATTCATTCGGTGCTTCTTCAATAGTAGAACAAAAGGACGAGAGATGTTATGTTAAGTTTTTGTTGGGGGGAGATAAAGAATCCAGCAAACAAAGATCGTGGTCTTCCCACGTCACTCGGAGTTTGTCAGAAGAACACCCACAACCCCCGAGTAAGGATTTTGATTCTCCGGCGCCATCTTTAAAGGGTTCCACAAGCAGTTTAACTTCAATTAATTCAAGACTTACTTGTCGGAGAGGTTCGGCCCCCATGGTTATCACAAGCAGCACCCTTTCTGGTCTTCGGGATCTGAGTGGAGCTTCTGATTTAACTGAACATCCACGTGTTTCAGCTTTTGGACGCCGATGGTCCATTCCAGCTGAACCTGTGAATGGTTTGTGATTGAAAGTAACATAATCTGTGACCATCTAGTGATCTAAACTATAACTAAAAATATCGGGTATTAAATGTATTTCAGTGGTGGGTGTATTAATCTATAAACTGGGACTGCTTTCTCACACTGAATTAAATTAAGTGACGCACCTTTTAATCGCTCATTGAACGAGCTACAACTTTTTACATGTTCTGTTAATCACCACCAGGGTTAACTTGCTAAACTAGGTACCTTCAAAATATGTGTGTTTTTCTTATAGCAAAGCCACGTCGGGCTATCTGCTGTGTCCACCGAGAGATATTGAACCCCTGATCTTAGCATTGTAAATCCGAAGACTTACCGTTGTCCCACCAGGGGGAACATAAACTTAATTCAGCAAAATTAAAGCAAAACAAAAGAAGCAACATGCAAAGTATATTTTTGTTGAGATTTTAAAAAGCTTTATAGCAAATAATTGTAAAAATCTGAAGCATTTCTTTGTTGTAGGGAAAAAAGTGTCTATCGTATTTGTATTTCAACCACGCCAAGTCCGCCATATGGCCAAATAACAATACGAACCTCTAAATAACAAACGTGACCTAAAAAATAATTTCTGTAGTTGATTGGTAACAAATAGACGATGTCCAGTCCACTTAACGTAAAGACAAGCATTTTTGTTTTCTTCTGGCACAAGTTCACTGAGCGTTAGGCCTAACTCACAAATAAAACTAAACAATTACTTGTTAAATTTCATCTCGTATTTACAGCAAAAACTCAAAACTGCTGACTAATACACTAGTCAACACTGTAACAGACTTATTTATCTAACTAATTTGCAGTAATTTTTTCTCTCCTAATTCTCAAAACAAATTGAGACGTTACATGCAGGTTACGTCAAACCCAGGTGTCACACACATTATCAATACGTCATGCCAAGTTTTTTTTCTATCAAACGTGCAAAACGTCTGAATTAAAATCTAGTTTACAGTTATATATATATTTTCAAGAAGAGACTAGGGTGAATTGTAAAATGTGTCAAAGCTCATCTGAGAACTGAATATAATTTGTACGTATTGTTTAATACTTTCTGTCGTTCGGTAGGTTCTTTTTTATTACAGAGTAAAAATAATCCAAAGCCCTGTCCATCTAACGTTAGCGAAAATGGTGTATTCCTTGTAAACTTCTACAGAATACGTTCGTTGCTAAGCCTAAATCACAAAAACTTCTCCCAATTCCACTACAAAACTCAACACTTGCTAACTGACACGCGCAGTAATGGATCAATAACACGGTAAAAGACTAGCTTATCAACTAGCTGACCCGTTAACTGAATTAACTCTTAACTGACTCAGTAATTAACTGTCTGACTAACTTGATCTCCAATAATTCTCAGGTGTTTAAATATTGTTACACTATTTTTACGTAAGATTATAGAAACTTCGAGAACTCTAGAACTCGCGAAAGTTTCTAGACGTCACACATAATCCTTACGTCATACAAAGCCCCCTCTATCAACGATAAATAACTAAAATATTAAAAACATAGTCTACAATATTACTACGTATACACTGGCCCTCTTATGCCATGTAAAGTCGTGTGTTTGATTTCCAAGTGTGTGCGGGTGTATACGCATTTTTTACGTTCAGTTAATAATGATTATGTTGTTTAGGGTTAGCAATGGTCAGACTATACGATAAACATGAACGAGTTTTAAATAAACGCATTTTTTACGTTCAGTTAATAATGATTATGTTGTTTAGGGTTAGCAATGGTCAGACTATACGATAAACATGAACGAGTTTTAAATAATGTGTGGTCCCTCACAGATCAATGTTTCAATTTTCTAACAACTAACTTACCTAAATGCTGTAAGAATGGATGAATTATCGTTTGTACATTAGCTATCGTATTTAGTGAAGAGTTATATCACGTTCTAAGACTGGGTTAACTTTTTTTGTTGTACCTTTGAGCTAGCAACAATGTCTGTTGCTAAGTGTATTAGAATCATTTCTTGTGTTACTTTATTACGCAACCAGAGTACTTTAAAATATGTTTTTTATCTTTAAGGTTTGCTTGGCCATTCTGAGTCTCAAAACTTGAAAAACAAACAAGACAGGAGTTCTCATTATAGGACTTCACGGAAAGAACTGGTTCGACGTCATAGTTTTGGGCTGCTCGAGACCTTACTCGTTGTACCAGCATCGGAATCGGATAACGAAGGCCTTAGCACTGGACCAACGAACACGGGAACCACCTGCATGGCCAGAGGAAATAGTTCTGGTCGACCAGGAACAGTTCATCGTAATTTCAGCAACAGGGGTACCTTTGATATAGATAGTTATGAACCAGAAGGCAGCTACAACTCGGAAAGTCAAGCAATATTCCTTCCATGCATTTCACCTTCTACTAAACAGCTAGCAAGAAGACGAGGCTCCCTACCGGCAGACGTGCCCCTCTCCCTCATGTGCCGAGTGCAGCCCGTCGGAACTCCCTCCCACCCATCACCTGTTTATGGAGTAGAATCTCTTCAAAAACCAGACGGTGATCTTCCAGCTGCAAACCCAATTTCTCGAAGAAATTCCATGGGAGAAATTTTGCAAGTGCTTTTGGGTCCGGCGGGTAGTCGCTTCGCCCTCCAAGGTCTAAGTGGAGAATCCAGCACCGCAGCACAAGACACGGTGGTTATCGCAGGTCGTGCAGGAAAACAAGGCCTTCCTCGTCGAGGTTCAGGGGGTTTAGAGCTGTTCTCCGGATTTTGGCGCACCAAATCTCTAGAGAAGTCCCCCGAACCTCACGCTACCAAGCAGCGGATGAAACTTCCCCGACAGTCCTGCTCCCTAGACTCTGCAGGTTACCCCGAGTGGCTTCTCCAACCGGGAAGCCACGCTTGGTGCAGGAACAGCAATCTCACAGTTACCACCACCGGGTTCGTTCGACCCTCAGTGGTACGAAGACGAGGATCTGTACCTGTAAACGTCCCCCTCCTCTCAGTGAATTCAGGTATGCTTGAAAGATCTCATTATCCATCTTAAAAGCTATTGTAAAGCGGTTTGCCGAGGATCTGTACCTGTAAACGTCCCCTCCTCTCAGTGAACTCAGGTGTGCTTGAAAGATCTCATTATCCATCTTTAAAGCTATTGTAAAGCGGTTTGCCTATACGTTAAGTAATATATATATCGAAACGTACATTTTTTTAACTGACTTATCCACTGAAATTTTTGAGATTTGTGTTATTTGTGTATATCACCATTTGGTATCAACATGATTTTATTCGTTCTCGTATTTGACAAAATTGTTGCTCATTAATTGGACATTATATTTCAATGTATTAACGTCTGTACTATTGATAAGAAGTTCTGTTTTAGTCCTTGCTGTATAACTGTTTATTAATACTTCGTTTAAATATTTATATAACTTTCTGTCGTTGTAAAAATAAAAGAAAAAATCCAGCACAAAAAAAATATTAATCACTTAAAAATTGATGAACATCAACATTTCAAAATGTTTCGCGACTGTAGAAAAATTGTTTATTGTCGTTTTTGAAAAACACAACAGGCTTTAAGTATGTACGTATATGTGTTCGTAACAAAGCCACTTCGGGTTATCTGCTGTGTCCACCGCGGGGAATCGAACCCTTGATTTTAGCGTTGTAAGTTCGTAGACTTATCGCTGTCTTACCAGAGGACCAGGCTTTAAATCCAATTGTTTTTAATTGCAAGCTTTCTTCGGGCAACATTGTACTGTAAATATGTATATTCGTTTATCTGTGGAACACATTTTTAAAGACGTTTAATTTAGATGTGTTGTTTTTCTTATTCGTGGTCATCTCAGTGGTTTAACATGTGGTCATCTCAGTGCTTTAACATGTGGTCATCTCAGTGGTTTAACATGTGGTCATCAATTTAAGTTATTCCGAATGTTAAATATTCCACTCGTATTAAATCTTGTGTCCTAATTATTATTGATAGGAATATAAGATATTATAAGTATTGTTATTTTCTTTGTAGGTGACTCTCCATGAGGGGACGAGAAGGGTGTTTCTGTATACTACGCTGCGTTGTTGTGCTCAAAGTGTACTTTTACAGACTCAAACCCCATAATTTTGCAAGGTGTAGACAAAAACAAAGAAACTATGCAACAAGCCCGCAGTGTTGAAGGATCTCTCTGACGTGTTTCTTAGAATCTCACAAGGACAGATTTTACGATGCTCACAGTAAACAGAATGTTGTTGATCGTCATATCATGGGTATACTTGTCTGGATGCGTGCGTGCGTGCGTGTGTGTGAGAGAGAGAGAGAGAAAAGAATGAAAGTCAAAGCATTTGATGATTTTATTAATTACTTATGATGTGTTCGGAGGTGCTACAAATTAGAAACAGTAAAGTATTATTTGAACCGATGTTAGTTGTTGTTGAAAATCTTTGATTTATTGTTCAAGTCCGTGGTAACGTGTTCAGTATTAACGTATCCAACTGTAAGATTCGGATAGGTGGCCACTTTATCTTACGTTTCGTTTGGTGTGGTTTTTGGATCGGAAAGGAACACACGGGAGAATGAGATACAGCTCAAATTTTATTTTATATTGTCGCTATCGGCGTAATATGTAATTTGGTATTACACTGTCTGTACCATAGGTAAAGTATACCGTTGTATATCTAGCGAATGAAACGTTTACTATCGTATTTGTGCCGTTTTGAATTGGTTCTGTCGTATGTTTACTGTACTATCGTATTTGTACGGCATGGGAAGAGTATGCTGTACTTTGTATATACTAGAGAAAGGATGTTTTTGTATTTCTATCCCGACGTATTTCAAATCTTTTTCGTATAAAATATAAACAAGTTGGTAAATACTTTACACATAGAATTTAACAGTATACCTTATTTTAGGTTTCGTATCAGAGAAAGACGTTAAACCTGTCGTATAATATTTGTATTTCTAAGTATCAATTCTGTACATAAAGCTTAATAAGATCTAATGATCCAATGATCGTCGTGTTTACTTCTATCCATAAACTGATGATCCAATGATCGTCGTGTTTACTTATATCCATAAACTGATGATCCAATGATCGCCGTGTTTACTTCTGGCCATAAACTGATGATCCAATGATCGTCGTGTTTACTTCTATCCATAAACTGATGATCCAATGATCGTCGTGTTTACTTCTATCCATAAACTGATGATCCAATGATCGTCGTGTTTACTTCTGGCCATAAACTAGTGCTCCATAAGCCGTTGTAAACTAATTATTCAGTGTTCTTTGTGTTTCTTCCTTTCACATAGTAATGATCTTTTGGTTTTATGTGGCCTTTCTATTAACAGTTTGATAAACTGCAGGTCTTTGAATGTGATTCTGTCCCTACATCCGTATTGTTGTATGTTTTTCTGTCTATACAACCGTATTGTACAGAAGCTAAGACAGAACTATTCCTTGAAGGTTCTTATTACCTAAAATGTGTACAAACACCAAAAACAGGTTACATTATAACATATTAGCTACAACTCTCACCACCTGGTGACCACATTTGGTACTACACAGCTTTACTTAGCCAAAACTCCCAGCGTCTGGTGATCACATTTTGTACTGAATAGAAATACTTAGCCACAACACTTACCACCTAGTGACCACATTTTGTACTACACAGCCTTACATAGCCACAACTTCCAGCATCTGGTAACTACATTTTGTACTACACAGTTTTACTTAGCCACAACTCCCAGCGTCTGGTGACCACATTTGGTACTACACAGCTTTACTTAGCTACAACTCTCACCACCTGGTGACCACATTTGGTACTACACAGCTTTACTTAGCCACAACTCCCAGCGTCTGGTGATCACATTTTGTACTACACAGTTTTACTTAGCCACGACTCCCAGCATCTGGTAACTACATTTTGTACTACACAGTTTTACTTAGCCACGACTCCCAGCGTCTGGTGACCACATTTTGTACTACACAGTTTTACTTAGCCACGACTCCCAGCGTC